ATTCTCTTGCCTCAGCCTCCCAAGTAGCTGGAACTACAGGCGTCTACCACAATGCCTGGCTATTTTTGTTGTTGTTGCAGCTGTCGTTGTTTAGCAGGCCTGGGCTGAGTTGGAACCCACCAGCCCCGGTGTATGTGGCTGGTGCCCCAACCACTGAGGTACAGGCACCAAGCCATATACTCTTATTCTTGGACTTTCTAGAAATATTGAATCTGCTTTGGAGTTGAGAGCCCTGTCACTGTAAATATTTAATAGAAATAGAAGGAGATACCTTGGGATATACTGTTATTAAGGTTACTTTTTAACTCTTAACACTGAATGCTACTCTTGATCTTTTGACTGCTTTGTTTAACAGTATCCAACTATGTACAGCACGGACCCTGAAAACGGACACCTCTTCAACTGCATTCAGAGAGCCCACCAGAACACGTGAGTGTCAGCCCTGCGGTGCCCCAGAGACACGTGCAGAGTGGGTGATTTTTGTCCAATACATCCTGCCTTAGAGCTCTGTATTTGCTGAGTGAACTGATGTTGACAATCACGGGCACCTCGTAACAAGTTATATATGTGAACAGATTGAACATTAAGCACACTTAAAATGGTGTGCTTAATGTTAGAATTAACATCTAACACTTGTTAGAATGGTGACATTTCTGTGTGATCTTTTTTTTTAAATGCCTTTAAATGTTGCATTACCCCTACAGTATTTGAAGCATATCCCATTTAAACTAACACTGATTCTCCCAGTCCTAGCAAAGAGGTTCTGAAGTCTGTAAGGAAATCCACTCTGCCGCACCAAGTTGTTAGACTTTCCAGTTTGTTAGACTGAGGTCATTTAGTCAGCATGTGCGGAGTTACCTTTCATCCCACCCAAAACAAAAGGAGGTGGAGATTAGTGATTGGGTCTTCTTCCTCCAGCCAGTGTCTATTTTTACTCTCAAGTTTCTAACTCGGCAAGAAAGAATGTAAAGGACTCTTTAATTCTACATAGGCACACTTAAATGGGCACTTTATTTTTTTATTTTTTGAGACAGCATCTCACCCTGTTGCCCAGGTGGCTAGAGTACGGTTGGTGGCAGCCTGGCTCACAGCAACCTCAAACTCCTGGGCTCAAGTGATCCTCCTGCCTCAGCCTCCCAAGTAGCTGGAACTATAGGTGTCTGCCACGACGCCGAGTTGATTTTTCTATTTTTAGTAGAGACCAGGTTTTACTTTGCCTCAGTCTGGTCTCAAACTCCTGAGCCTGAGTGATCCTCCCTCCTCAGCCTCCTGGAGTGTAAATGGGGCACTTTCTAAGAAGTTCTTTTTCTCTGTTCCAGGTTGGAAGTGTATCCACCCTTCTTATTTTTTCTAGCTGTTGGAGGTGTTTACCACCCGGTAAGTTTTTCCAGAGTGTTCATCTATTTTGATTTAGCTCACTGAACTATCATCAGGGAAGGAAGAAGGAAATAAACATTTAATGAACATGAGTGTCTAGTCACCATGTAAAGGATTTTATTCAATTATTTCTTACAAACTTCTTTGAAATCATGTGGGGTTCCCGATTTTTTATAGCTAAGGAAAAATGTCTTGGACACTACTTAACCTTCATAAGGTCAAATAGCTATAGAGGAAAAGAATCAGAATTTGAAACCATGTCTGTCTCATTCTAAAGGTTTCATATCCATAAGAGATTTCGTTTGTCATATTCATTCATGCCACAAACACATACTCACCACCTGGAGTTCTGGCAGTGAACAGAACAAGCAAAGACACCTGGTCTCCTAGAGCTTATCTTTTAGTTGGGGTCGCTTGAAATAAAAAAGCAACATAGTTAAATTGTGTAATGTGCTAGCAGCTGATGAGTGCATGGAAGAAAATAAAGCAGGAAGGTGGAAAGGAGTGTAGAGCAGTCATTTCAAGTGGGTTTTGAAGGATGCATAGGAGTTCACCATTAAGATCACTGATGCCTTCCCTGCTCACTGGCCTCCTGCTAGCATGTTAATAAAATAAAACATCAGGCAGCACCTGTGGCTCAGTGGGTAGGGCACCTCATATACTGAGGGTGGCGGGTTCAAACTTGGCCCTGGCCAAACTGCAAAAAAAAAAATAGCCGGGCACTGTGGCGGGTGCCTATAGTCCCAGCTACTTGGGAGCCTGAGGCAAGAGAATCACCTAAGCCCAGGAGTTGGAGATTGCTGTGAGCTGTGACGCCATAGCTCTCTACCAAGGGTGATAGAGTAAGACTCTGTCTCCACAAAAAAATAAAATAAAACATCATTGTGTCCATGTTCTCTTACTCTGAGCAGGTCACAGGGCATCTGAATAGGGTGGCCAGGGAGGAATAGGCTGCTGGGAAGGTACAACTGAGCAAAGGGCATGAGGAAGCAGGTGCTGCCCATGTCTCCAGACATCCAGGCAGAAAAGGCCCAGAGTGAGGCCTGAGGCAAGTGCTGGCCTGGTGTTTGGTGAGCATTGAGAAAGCCAGTGTTCTTACTGATATTTAACATAACTTAAAATCAATTCAAACAAAAACCAGGACGCAGGTAACCTACTCAGTGGTAGCACTGCCAAATGGGATAGCTCTAGGGAGGATGGTTTCTCTCACACTCTCTCTCCTTTCTTCTTCTCTTCCTCCTTTTGATTAACAGCTGGACTGACCCTAGCATGGTGCCCAGGGGGAAGATCTCTCATCTGAAGCTTTTACTTTCTCAAGGGTGCTGGGAACAGGGAGACTTTTCCCTCTATGACCACATTTTCTGGGGCTCACAACATGCTACCCTCTCCCACTCTGTCCAGGGAGCCCTGCCTCGGTACAGGCTACAGCTAGAGGTGATGTGACCACAGCAGCTGGAGATTTTAGTCTCATGCTCCAAGGCCCATTTGAGACCACAGGGCTTTTCCTCAAGCCATGCCTTTGGGACAGTTTCCTCTTCTGGCTAACCCTGAGACCCCAGACCTGCCTGTCCCTGAGATGCCAGGGTTAGCCCAGAGATCTCTCTGTCCCACCTACCTAGGAAGCCAGTGTTCATCACCCAGGTCCATAAGCTGTTCATAGAGGAATCACAGATCTTCCATTTTCCTGACTGAAACAAATAACTTAATTCTGCCTAATTTTGGTGGGGAGTATAGTTTAGCAAATCCATGAAACTGCTGACTTTTGCAGACACATTGACTAATCCATCCCAGGTGTTAATAAAGGCTTGCGTGTTTCTTTAATGCGACCACTGATGTAGCTCTTTTATTTTAGCGTTTAGCTTCTGGCTTGGGCTTGGCCTGGATTGTTGGACGAGTTCTTTATGCTTATGGGTACTACACGGGAGGTAAGTACATACCGACATCTGCCAAAGGAACAAACAAAATTTAAAATCTGATGCTACTAAATTTCTTCTTGGGACTTTAAGGGAAAATAGCTTGACATTTAGGAGAAATTTAGGTGAAATGTCTATTATCTTTGGTTTTTTGTGCAGCTTTTTTGGCTGGGGCCGGGTTTGAACCCACCACCTCCAGTATATGGGGCCGGCGCCCTACTCCTTGAGCCACAGGTTATCGCCATTGCGTGATAAAAGGCACCGCCCAGTTGCTGTGGTTATTGATTTCATAATTTTCTAAGGTCTAAGCAATGCTGTTGGGACACATTACTTGGCATGCATTACCCATAGCTTTGGTATCTGAAGCTGTCAGTAAGTGTCTGACTTCAGGCTAAGAGTTGGTTACCCTCCTAAGGCCAGGATGTCTAACATACAACTCCAGATGCCATGTCAGAAGGGCTCGTGGATGGGTGGCATCTGTAGCTCAGTGGGTAGGGTGCTGGCCCCATATGCCAAGGGTGGTGGGTCAAACCTGGCCCCAGCCAAACTGCAACAAAAAATAGCCGGACATTGTGGCAGGCACCTGTAGTCCCAGCCACTTGGGAGGCTGAAGTGAGAGAATCCCCTAAGCCCAGGAGTTAGAGGTTGCTGTGACCTGTGTGAGGCCATGGCACTCTACCCAGGGCAACAAAGTGAGACTCTGTCTCTCCAAAAAAAAAAGACAAGGGCTTGTGCATGTTGAAAGCACCATAATTGAGGATCATTCCTGGTAACTTCTGGTCTTTCTTCTTTTTCAGACCCCAGCAAGCGGAGGCGAGGAGCCCTGGGCTCCATCGCCCTCATTGGCTTGATGGGCACAACCCTGTGCTCTGCCTTCCAGCAGCTTGGTTGGGTTAAAACTGGCCTGGGTGGCGGCTCCAAGTGCTGCCATTAAAGAACTGTAGGGGTTTAAAACCCTAATTCATTTAGAATGACTTACCTTTGTTTCCAGTGACATCTTTTTTTTTTTCTAAATACAATAAAAACTTATCTGGCGTCAGCCTCATACCTAAACCTTCTGACTCTTAACCACTCATTTCTTTCAGGGTCTCCATCTAAAATCAGTAGCCTCTTCCTTCTAGGTAGAGAGAAGCCACAAGTGTCCTCTCCTCCCTCTGCCAGTGTGCGCTCGCGTAATGTGTGAAGATGAGAAAGAGCCTGATTGCGGGAGTATGTTCATAAGGCCACAGTGCTAAAAAATTAAGGGAAGTCAGGGTGGCGCCTGTGGCTCAGCTGGTAGGGCACTGGCCACATATACTGAGGGTGGCGGGTTCAAACCTGGCCCTGGCTGAACTGCAACCAAAAAATAGGCATTAAGGCAGGCGCCTGTAGTTTCAGCTACTCGGGAGGCTGAGGCAAGAAAATCGCTTAAGCCCAGGATTTGGAGGTTGCTGTGAGCTGTGATGCGACAGCACTCTACCGAGGGTGACAAAGTGAGACTCTGTCTCTATGAAAAAAAAATTAAAGGAAGCCTTTTAGCTGTAATTAGGATATAATCTTATCACTTGCTACTAATACTCTGGGTAACAGTAAGGAAATTTTTTTTGCACTTTTTGGCCAGGGCCAGCACCCTACTCCCTTGAGCCACAGGTGCTGCCCAACAGTAAGAATTTTCTTAAAAATCTTCACTGGAGAATGAGGAGACCAGACTAGATCAGCATACACTCTGGTGTGAGTTTACAAGAAATTTTCACCAGTGGAGAGAAAAGCAAGGACAATAAAGAGGGCAGGTTTTCATAAAACTTTGACTGGTTTTTCATTTTTACATCAAAATGTTCCTTTATGAAATGATGGTGAGGATAAACGGTAGAGGTCTTCTGGTTCTGACTTGAAAAAGTGACATCATTAAGTTTATAATAAGCCAGATTTTGTTTGTTTTTTGTTTTATAAGAAATGCACCCAAACAAGCTGGAGAACTTGCTGAGGTTCCCTTTCTCACTGCACAGGTAACAGCAGTTGAGCAGGCCCGCGAGAACCTGGCGGGGAGGCTGGCTCACCTCTGTGTGATGTCCTAATTTGCAAAGTACAGATGCTCCCTGCTGATGCCAGTTCAACTCACTCTCAACTTCACAATGATGTGAGAGAGATTCCCATTCGGTAGAAACTGTTACTTTGAGTACCCACTCAGCTTTTCACTGGTAGCTATTAGGTATGTAATTCAGTATATCACATGAGATATTCAATACTTTATTATAAAATAGGCCTTGTGTTAGATGATTTTGTCCAATTGTAGCTAGTGTTAAGTGTTCCGAGCACACTTAGGCTAGGCTGACCTATAATGTTCCGTAGGTTAGGTGTATTAATTGCATTTTCAATTTACAGTATTTTCTTTTTTTTTTTTTTTTGAGACAAGAGTCTCAAGCTGTTGCCCTGGGTAGAGTGCCATGGCATCACAGCTCACAGCAACCTCAAACTCTTGGGCTTAAGCAATTCTCTTGCCTCAGCCTTCCAAGTAGCTGGGACTACAGGCGCCCACCACAACATCCGACTATTTTTTTGTTGTTGCAGTTGACATTGTTGTTTTAGCTGGCCTGGGCCAGGTTCGAACCACCAGCCTGTGTATGTGGCCAGCACCCTGCCCACTGAGCTACGGGTGCCGCCAATTTACAATTTACTATGGGTTTATCAGAACATAGCCCCATGGTAAGTAAGTCAAGGAGCATCTGTAATGTGATCAATGTTTGTAATTTTGCTATTGCACAGTGGGCTCTGATGGAGTCTTATAAGAAACCATCCAGTACATAGGATGAAGTGCAGAACCCAGAGCTCTGCCTTTTCAATCCCCTGGTTCCCCACTAACAGCACTTCCAGGGAACCCCAGGGCTTGGGAGAATCCCATTGGTAGATGGCTGCTACAGAAAACAATATTGTCTGGTAGGCTAGTTTCTGTTAAATTCCCTTGTCTGGTGGAAAAAAATTTGGCATCAGTACAGCTACCATTGACTAGTAAGTAGGTGGAAAGTCAAGAACCACACCAGCCAATAAATGCCTGCTTCACCCATACTGAACCCTAAGGATCCCCACCTACAGAGAGCCATGTGTGTGTCCTGGGGAAAGTTTATTAGCCTCCCTAAGTCTCCTGCCCATCTGTAAGCTGGGGATAATGAAGATACTTGCATGACGTTTGTTGAGGATCAAACAGTAACACACGTGCAGTGACTCCCAGGGCTCTGGTGGCCAAAAAGGCTGGCCTCAGGCTCCAGCCCAAGTTGAGGTAGGAAGCACAGGAGCCACCTGCTGGTGTAATTCATCTGACAAGAGTCAGCAACCAGACTGGGCACTGTGGCTCACACCTGTAGCCCCAGCACTTGGGAGGCTGAAGTAGGTGGATTGCCTGAGTTCACAGGTTCAAGACCAACCTGAGCCAGAGTGAGACCTCATCTCTAAAAATAGCCAGGCATGGTGGCAGGTGGCTGTAGTCCCACCTACTTGGGAGGCTGAGGCAAGAGAATCCCTAGAGCCCAAGAGTTTGAGGTTCCTGTGAGCTATGACGCCAGGGCATTATGTAGAGGGTGACAAAGTGAAACTCTGTCTCCAAAAAAAATAGAGTCAGCAACCAGATTCTTTCTGGCCTTCCTGTGCAGTGTTCCTTACCCCAGGGATGGGGCCTGACACTCCCTGCAATGAGTATGTTAGGGCCCATTGTCAGCAAGGTGGGGGGTCTTGCCTTGGGGAGGTAACAAAGGGAGAAGGTCAGAGAGGCAGACTCTGATTCTGAGGCCTAAAGCACCCCAACATTAGAGCAAAGCACTGTAACAAGGGCTGTAGGAGTTAGGAGCCAGGAACTATGGGTGAAAACCAGTGCGTGTGTATCACAGTATCACGCCTAGGACCAAGACTCCTGATCTGTTTCTTCATTTGAAAATCAGAGATAATACCTTCCTTAAGCTTTGTGTAAATATTAAATGAGAAGGAACGGAGGCACACCAAACGTTGCTTCCCTTCCCCTGCTGTTGTCTTAGAGAAACTATCAGAAACTTGTCTTCTCTCCGGTGGTGGCTACGTTTTAAGTTGTACAAAGCTCCCCTGAGACATGGGGTGAGACAACTCTGCTGCCTTATTCAGGACCACATGTGTCCTTTGTGCAAATAACCTCAAGAAAGGCTGATGCAATTGTTCTCATGCTCTGAACTATAGTATTTGCCCACCATAATCCAAAATTAGATCCAGGCTCAGTAACAACCATTATCCCTACATCCCATCATCACTCTGACTACTAAATTAGCTGTTATTTATAAAGTGTTTCCCTGAAAAGAAGAGAAGGGGCAGAGTGAGGCGTCACTGCAACAACCTGAAGTCACAATGGTCTGACAGCTCTTTAAGGACAAAGCTGCTTATCAGGGTGGGGACAAACATAGAGTTTAAATGCTTAGTGGGCCATAAAGAGTTGATGACACAGCAACTAGCCCTACCCTTTGTACTACTGCAAAGATCCAATCCCTCTGCCTGGGCTTTTAACTTTAGCCCTGTCCTGTGACTTATTATAACCTTCAGACACACTTAGTTTCAAAAAGTGAAAGTCAAAGAAAGTAAAAGTTTTAAAAGATATGTGATTTAATTTCACTAAACTACATTGGCACATTTAAAAGGTAACTCTTCTGATGTAAGAAAGCAGACTGTAGTTCAAGAACTTGAGTTTAAAAAAAAAAAAAAGAACCCAAGACAGGTCTTCTCTGTTGCAGTGTCAAATGGAAACCGAAGTGCTTACTACAGACAGTCAACATCGCACAGAATTTAACCTATTAATCTAATCCCTTCCCAATCCCAGCTGTCAGCTTCCTTAATGGTATGACAAAAGGACATAGCTTAAAAAAAACGTCAGTGAGCAGAAATCATCTCTTCTGATTTTACCATGAACCTACAAAGGAATAAGATCTTTAAATAAGCCAGAGAATTAACATTGCCTGTAGGCAAAATGTGTGGAAAACATATAATCCTAGTCCTGCTCCCTATTCTCTGGAAGTCTGTTCCTGGCTCTTAAAAGATTTCACAGAAATTTGCTTTGAAGGAAATCACAACTTTCTTGATTAGTATCTAAAAGGCACTCAGACACATTTTCAACCGGGAGAGTGATTGGGAGGTGAAGAGTAACACTGAACCATTCTCTCATCCTGAATGATCAAAATTCTGGGTTTAAACTGTGCCAGCTGTCAAGCCTCTGCCAAGGGCGATGATCCTCATTTTTCCACAGCCTGGCCATGTAGCGGGTTTCACCGCAGGTCTTCAAAAAGCAGATTCCACATCACCCATCTCCACGCACACAGTCTTTAGTTGTGAATAATATTCAATTGTCACACGGCCGTTCTCTCTGCCAAATCCTGAAAGGGAAAGAAAGGATCAGGATGAGCCACAACCAAACAGTCAGAAGGTCTCCGCAACTTTCACAGACAGGCCCAGCTTATCTGTCTACGGAAGAACACAGACCTGCACATTTGGAATAAAGTCCGCAATCCATGGAGTATTAGCTGTGGGGCTGGCCTGGGCAAAAGACCCACTGGCCTTTGGTGATAGGGACAGGGAAATACACAGGTCTCATTTCTTACCAATAGGAGTCTTAACTTGAGGCACCTGCCATTCCAGGTGCAGGTCTGAAAATGTTCGTAGTTCCAGGTGTGTGTTAAAGCAGCCTCTACAACCAACCTGACACCCTTGGAAGTTGGTGCTAGTGTAAAACTCAACTCTACATAATAGGTTTAGTAACTGTTTCTCATAGCAAAGCTGCAAAAGCAACTGCCCACTTATGTGAGGGAGGGGACACCTTAGGTCGCCTCTTGATTCCTCAAGACTCCAAGACACTACCCAATTACTAGTGAATGAGGTTATTGCGCCGAAAAGACAGCATCCCATACTTGGCCTTTCCTGTGCACTAGACCTAGATAGGCTCTGCCTTCTAAGGGAAGGGCCCAGGTCCTCAAAAATGCACTTTTCCAGGTGCACCATTCAAAAGGCACTATACATAAAGATACTGGCAGGACCTGGCTCCACCTTTGTTCCTTTCGAATCCTCTGAGTGCAGCCAAGGCCAGGCAGGTCAGGCCTGGTGTTGCCCTGCAGACCTGACCATCTTTCTCCCTCATCCCATATAGGTAGGCCTGGTCTAAGGGGAAGGGAAGAATGACCAAGGAAGCCCCTCAAAGGCCTAAGATGCACATTCCCTACAGTGAGACGATTAATAGAACAGTGCACTAGTTAACACCTGCATTTGTGCCTGTGTATACAGCTCTGAGTACCCCGCAGGGACAAAGATGATTAGTGGAGTATAATTAGGAAATGCCAGGATAATACCAGATGAGGCTACCAAATTAACACCCACCATCTCATCGGGATTCAGAGTTTATAGACTTACCAACACTGTGATGGCTATAAATTGCCACATACCCTGGAAGTCCTACCCTTAGAACAGTGCCTCTGTGAAGTCCAAATCAATTTTCAGTTCAGAAGGACCATATGGGAAATGAATGTTTACAAACTTCAAAGAAAGACCCTCAATGTTAAAACTATGTTCCTCATGCTCCAAGCCTGATGAATGAGCAATGGTGAGAATGACTGTACATATAATTGACTGTTAAATTATACAAATTAAAATATCTTATAAACTTGGCATAACAAAGAAAACAAATTAATACAAGCTTTCTGAGATATTTATTTATTTTTGAGGCAGAGTCTCAAGCTGTAGCCCTGGGTAGAGTGCTGTGGCATCACAGCTCACAGCAACCTCCAACTTGGGCTCAAGCGATCCTCCTGCCTTAGTTTTTCTATTTTTAGTAGAGACAAGGGTCTCAATTTTGCTCAGGCTGGTCTCGAACTCAAGCAATCCACCTGCCTCAGCCTCCCAGAGTGCTAGGATTACTGGCGTGAGCCACTGTGCTTGACTGAGATATTACTTTAGAGACATGTTAGCTAAACACACTCTAAAAACTCGACAGTGGATGATGAATTCCGACAGCACCCTCGAGACCTGGTTTGCTTCTACACTTCCCAGCTCCTCACCTGACTTCTTGTATCCACCAAAGGGCAACTCTACTGGGCTGACGTTGTAGTTGTTAATGAAGCACATTCCAGCCTGGAGCTCTGCCACCACTCTGTGAGCCCGCTGGAGGTCCCTATGAAGAAAAACATGTATCAGTTAGTCA